ATGGTTCTCGTCGTCGCTTATATAGTTTCCTCCAGGTAACCCAGAAGGTTCTCGAAATCTCCAGCCCAGGTGCGAAATTTCCCGCTTGTCAGTGTTATATTTCATGACACATTGGCCATGAATTTCGATCCCCCATTCCAAACGTGAGTACCCCAGGCCATTTCCGTTACAATATCAATATTAAATGCAAGTCATCTAGGCTTTTGCGCAGATGACTAGGAGGGACCCGTCCACCTGGAAGACCACCAAAGAGATGGAGACACAGCTGGAGGTCCACATCTCAGGAAACAATACCGAGGCAAGCTCGGAATAAACAGATCAACTAGATCTCCAACAAGTAGAAGAAGAAGTATAAGAATAAATAAACATGAAAATAATGTTAGAAAAGCAAAACTTTAAAATTCACACCTCAGCACATTGGATGGACGAAGGATTTTGAGCGGGTGTTTTTAGATTAAGAGAAACTAGTATTTTATAATGTACTCAGCAACATCCGCTCCAGCCAAAGACATTTAGGAGATTTTTCACTGGAAACGTCCTAAAGGCATTAGGCCTCTAAAGTGGAACACCCAAAGGTGTCGATAGGGCCAAATGGGCTTTAAGTCGGCTTTTCAAAGCCGCAATATACTTAAAAAAATATTAATATGTTTTTTTGTGGTTTTATAAGCCTGTTTCAACTGAACATTTCATCAGACAAGAACTAAGTATATTTGAACACAAAACTAATGAAGAAACAAAGCTCTTTCACCAAAATAGTACAAATTAATCATAACGAAATTGTATATTCACCTTCCACAAAATTTCAATATATAAGCGAACATGTCCCTAATTGACAAAGGCTAATGTCTTGACAATGCCGAAACGCTATTTGTAACGGTCAAATCCGCAATTCCGGAACATATTTTACAGAATATCCAGACGAGCGTAAACCTTGTTAACTCCGGATTCATCTGTTCTATGCTGTTGTCATAAATCAGCTGAAATCTCGCTAATTTTACAGTGTTATCTTCGTGGTCAAAGGTTATCTAGAGTCTGGGCTTCAGCCAACATAATTTACAAGACACTGGCTAACAGACAACTTGAACTATTGACAAACACCGGTTAGCAGTGGATGAGATTGGACAATTAAGTGACTTTATATGATTAAATAACTGATTATGGAGCCAAGAACATTCGTAACTTTATTTCATTTCAACTGATTTCTTCACGGATTTTTTGTTTAGTCAATATTTTGAGTTTCAGCTCATCTGACAAAACACATGATATGCAACCCGATTTATATGGAGCTCAACGGAAAGTATGGAAGATGCTTATAAATCGAAAAAAGCCTGTAAACGAATACATTCAAACTAAAAGCGTGTCACTGCACAACTGGGAAAGATATTTTAATGACCTGTACGATAACAACCAAGACACAGGCAGGCAGAAGGAGAAGAATAAAAAGGAGAGCAGGTCCCCATATCATTCACGGAAGAAGTAAAAAACAAAACAAAAAAGTTTAAAAATAGAAAAGCACCGGGTGTGGACAAAATTCCCAACAAACTTCTAAAGTATGGCGGTAATGAACTCACAAAAAAACTAACGCAACTTTTCAATGGAATATTAAGCTCACAAACAATCTCCGACGATTGCCACAAGAACTTCACCATACCCATCTTCAAAAAAGGACAAAAAACCAACCCAGAAAACTACAGGGGTATAACTCTTCTATGCTCCCCATGAAATTATTCACCGGCCTTATTAAAGATAACCTGAAACAATATATCGGCATTAAAGACGAACCGCAGGAATTCCGGAGAAACAGTCTACCTACAATTAACGCCCTATTTATCATACGCCAAATAAAAGAAAAGGCAATAGAATTCGACACCCCCGCTTTTGCATGCTTTATCGATTTAACAAAAGCATTTGACCGTGTCGGACTGGAAGACATTATCACCATCTTGAGGAACAAACGAGATAAGAATTATAAAAACAGTGTACTGCCTAAACACATACAATTCAACCCGAATTAAAGTTGATCATAATACAACAAATGCCATACCGATATCGCAGGGTATAATACAAGGGGATACCTTAAGCCCGTTTCGGTTCACCCTGACTATGGAAAAAATCAGCGGCTTAAGAATGGGGTATAGGATCAACAGAAAACCCATTAGCATAATTTGCTACGCTGATGACGCGACAATATTGGCAGAAACGGCGGACAATTTGCGAAGACAACTTCACAGATTCAATCAGGTCAGCACACAATTTAATATGAAAATATCAATATCGAAAACAAAGTGTATGACAGTTGCCAGGGAACTAACGAGATGTAAGCCGGTTATAATTAATGAAATTGTCGGGCAAGTCACAACTTTCAAATACCTTGGAGGGGATATTTCTAGCCGCCACGAACCATTTAAAGATCTTAAATCCCAGATCAACAAAGCCTCGTTAACATCTGGTTGCTTAAGAGACGTCATATGGAACAACAAACAGATGAGCATCGACAGTAAAGTTCGAATACGCAAAACATGCGTAAGACCAATACTCGCCTTCGGTATCGAGACTCGAGCAGACACAAACAAAACAAAATGTATGTTAAGAACGGCAGAGATGATGACTCTAAGGTCAATAGCGGGAAAAACACTACGGGATAGAGTGAGGAGCGTAACAATAAGACAGACCTGCAAGGTGGAAGATGTAATCAGATGGGGACGAAAGTGCAGAAGATGGTGGCGGGATCATGTAGAAAGAATGCACCCCGAAAGAATAGCCAAGATTGCGTCGAATGTAAATCCAGCTGCTAAAAGACCCATCGGAAGACCACCGAAAAGATGGGAGGATAGTTGGACATCCATATCACAAGAGAATCAACAACATTGACCAGGCCAAATAAACAGACCAAAGGGTCTTTACAAAGAATAATAAGAAGAAGAACTGTGACGAAGTAATTCTACAATGTTCTCTGACATATTTCGCTAGCTAGATGAGTATGAAAATTAGAAGGGTTGCCAAATTAATCCAAAAGCATCAATAAGCAAAACGTTAAAAGGTCATGGATGATAAATGACTCAAATAGCAGCTGATTGACAAAAAAGGCTCATTCAGAATTCATGGACTAATCGCTTACCATGTATATTGGACCACTTCATGATGTCCTCGTATCGTGTGTAGCTGGCCTGTCCTGCTTCCGCACAAATATCTTTGATAAACGGACTGATTACGTGTGAGTGTTTCAAAACAACACTATAATCCATCGTATGGTTTAACCTGGAAAAATGTTCAGAATATGGCAACTTTTCTGAGCTGCATTGCTCAAAGTACCTTCCATGATCCTCCTCCGGTGTTCGCACTGTACTGGGGTTCTTTTGCCTGAGCTTCGACATGGCATCAGATGAGATGAATGAATTTTTGGGGAAGTGAAAAATGAAACACATGACTTGGTATTGGCTTTGTCCCCGTTCCTCCTCTCCCAGTATTAGAGACTTCAGAATCTGGACCTCCTGCAACCAAAATGAATATTCACAAATCTGCATAGAGCTCTTGGGGCATTATGATCATAACCATAGTTAACGATAATGGCCCGTTCTAAATGCATTTCCAGTTAAATTCGGCAGACGACTTTGGCCGAGCTCCGTTTTATATTCATGCCCCAATTCTATGAATATTTAAGCCCTTGCTGTGTATTTAATCCTTCCCCGAGTCAACCAGCCTACACGCCGTAATTTTCAGAAATATTTTATGGTTCATACTAAAGCGGTCATTGTTAATATGGCATATTTTATGAGAACCAGTCATTGTAGGGCTACTAAATAATTAATGCATCGGGATTTAGCCGGGACCGAGTTTCGACCAAAAATGAATTATTCCAGAACGAAAAAGTGCTTGAAAAAAAATTGAACGTTAATACCGTAGCAATTCCCTAACATGACATGACCAGGAAAATAAAGCCAGTTAATTGCTGTAGGCAGGCAACATTATTTTAATTAATTTTCCTAATTTTCCCACCAGTAATTTGCGGCACGGGAGGTGAAAGAAAACACCGCAAAAGATAACCAGAAATGTTTTAGATTAAATGGGTTGATTGTGGGTTTTAATGGTGATTAATTGAGTCAGTTCGAGGACGGTTTGAATCCGAAAAATGTTTGAAAATTTGCTTTATTTATACACTTCAACGCTTATTCTTCGCACTTATCATACAAGCAAATTTCATCAAATTAGTTGAAAAATGCATTACCAAATATTTATTTGATCGGGAGTGCAAAATTGCAGCAATCTACAGAATTGCCATTATTCGATGGTTTGTGGAAACTCGAGAATTCACAAGTAATTCCAGGTGGTTTCGAATGAGTAGAATGCATTTCGGGAATTGTATTCAAGCATTTAGAAACGGTTTGTTCATTGACAAAACACTTGCTATTTACAGCTAACTTTGCTATTTACAGAATAATATATACTATCGCTATAAGCTTCCAAACTGTAGGCCATTTAAATGTTTTCCTGATCTTTGGCTTGCATAATGCACAAGAATGTTCACATAGTTTTATGTGTGTCTATTTGAGGTTTGAGCCGATGAAAAGGTGACATAAACTTAGTTTACACGCCCTGATGTGTAAAAGTGAGGCAAGTAAATACCTATTTCCTGGTGCGGATAAAAATACCGGAGCAATTGAAAATGTGATTTTCCGATTTTGCCACAAACGGTTATTTGATGAAATCTCCCTCAATTTCGTCGTCTTGTGCTTTATTGAAAACTGTTTCAGCTGTATTTACAAATTGAGTGATACATATAAATATTCAAAGAAAAGAACACGTATTTCTAAATTGCACGATCTTTCTAGCTGGCTTCAAATTTCTATGATATCCGAAAAATCGATCTAACGTTTGTGGCACCAACAGCAAGAGCAACAGCAGGTTAAAAGAGCCCTAAAGAAGCAAATGTCATCTATTTTTTTTTCGGAACATACCGTAGGAAAAAATAAGGGCTAACACACTGTTTTTGCCCTAAGACCCAGTAAGTAAGGTAAGGCTGAAATATACGCAAAAGTCGTAGCGAATGGTCTGAAAAACATCGGATCAAAAGACATTGCTTGCACCTTGGCTTACAGAAGGCTCAAATTCGCGTGTTATTTGTGGTACAGAGTTGAGCGAAAATCATGACACATCGAGTTGAAATCGATGACAAAATCCGGGGCGTTTTGCGGTCTTAGTGAACAAAAACCGCACCCGATCGCAATTAGAGCTGGCAGATCTAAATAATGCAAATGCCTGTTCGATGAGCGCAGCCCTAAGTCAAGTGACCCAATGGCAAATTTATTGGTACATGTCGAATGGGAGGCTCATTGGAGCTGGACAACCTAATTACTGCATTACATTGGTCACAGTCTGATTGGGAACTTTAGAATTGATGGTGGTTCAAATAATTGTTTTTAGTTGCGACCAGATTTTTTAAATTTGAATTTTAAATAAATACACATTTTTGAGATTAAAAAACTGCACTCTTTGGGCAGAAACTCATATTGTTCTCACTTAACTCTCTCATTTAAAGTGCGCTCAGCAACGTATCTTTGCTAAGCATATTCAATTCGTCGCTCTATTATAATATCATCAGCTCTAAAGCTAACTCGCCTCGCCTTCGCTGTTTTACGGTTTGCTTGTTTTGTCTTGTTTCCAGTTCTGTCCTGCTTTCTTCACATTGTCAGGATTCGCAGTGCAATGTTGCGGCAAGGTTTTATTAAATAGTTTATTTGTTCTATGAAAAGAAACTTTCACAATAGCCGCTAGCGAATTGCATAGTTGCTCGAGACGATTTGAACAAACTCAATAGTGAATTGCTGAAATTCTTAGTTGTGCTAATTTTTTCTCAAAGTCGGATTTAAGCAACAGCCCGAAATTCCTTGGTTTTGTAGGGGATTTGGAAAGCGGTTTATTCGATCGGTAGAACTTAGTTTTATAGTTTGTTTGTAATCTGCTGGAACGCGACTCAAAGTGGCGCTTATTCACAAACATTGTAATGTTTGGAAACATGTTCGTCAAAATGTAACAAACTGACGGTGCGATTTTTAAATGCGGCTTTAGGCATAGAGCAGACACGGTGTTATTTTCAACTTAGGAAAGAAGCATTTTGTATGTTGAATTCAGTTGGAGCACGCTAATAATTTTTCGGCAAATTAAAATTATTTTCTAATTATACATGAAGTTGGGAGCAAAATATCTCTTAGTGTATTTTTGCGGAAATGCAATATTTTTGAGAAAAAAATAAAAACCTTTGGATTAGCCGAGAAAGCTAACGCTATTTTAAAAGTTTGATAATTCCGGAAAAAGCTACGACGCCGCCAATGGTTTTTCTGCAAACAAAAATAATTTTACAATTCTGCATTATGTTGGGAATACAAAAGCTATTTTGGTTTTTTTGCAAATATGTACAGATTCTGATTAAAAAAATGAAAACCGTTAGACTATACTAGAAAATTTGCGCTATACTTTGATAATTTTCAGATAGAAAAAACGGTGCACGCTAATGGCTTTTCTGCAAAAAGAAAACAATTTTCTAATTCTATTGCACATTTTTCGATCAAAAAAATTGAAACCGTTGGCTTGTCCGTGAAAATTAACTTATATTCAACAATAATGGCTGTATTAAAGTAGGATTATCCGAGGACATTGATTCTTTCGAGACAAAAAAGGCAATAGGTTTTTCGGCAAACAAAAATTATTTTATTTTCTAATTCCACATTCAGTTGAGAACAAACGAGCTCAGTTGGTCTTTTCGCTAAAATACACATTTTCTGATTTAAAAAATTGAAACCGTTGGCTTGTCCGAGAAAACTAACTTAAATTCAACATTAACACTTTCCAGGTAGAAACTTTCTTTCTTGAACGGTTTTTTCAATCTATTGGCTTTAAATCGCTGTTTCTACAGTCTTTGACAAATACAATGTAAATAAACATTTACTTGCATATTTCCAGGAGGACTGATTTACTATCAGAATCTAGGCACTGAACGCAAATTAATATATTCAGTCACAATAAATATAGATAACAATTTAAAAGTATGTTATGACTGAATTTTCATCTTCTTCTTTTGCACGTGTTGTTGTCGTCTGAAGCGCTTCAAGTAGGTAAGTTAGCATTTATTTGGGGAAAGCAAAGTTCATGAATCTAGTGGGTTTTCGGGTTTTTAAGCCGTCGTTCGGTCGAATTTCTTCTTGACGTTTCGCAAGCACGAGTGACTTACATCTTCAAAAGTGGTTTGCTTGAACGCTTATCATCATCATCGTAATCAGCATCGGAACAGTGTAAGTATATACACAAACGCTTACACTGTTCTGATGCGTTCAAGCAAACCACTTCTGAAGATGCAAGCCACTCGCGCTTGCGAAACGTCAAGAAGAAATTCTAACGAATGACGGCCTAAAAACCCGAAAAACCCATTAGTTTCAAGGAATGGCCTCGAAAGTCTATCTCTTATGAGTGCTGTATCATCAGCAAATCGTAGGTGGTCTAAATTAAGTTCCGTTAATATTGCCTCATCTCTTCTACAAATGATTAAGCGTCTACCATGTTGGTAAGCCTGCGGGTGACAACCTTCTGATAAGAAATCTTGCTTTTGACTCACAATGCGTGCCAACAATGGAAGAAGACAAATCGATTTTTGTGGTTGATTTTGTCCTCGCTTCCCGTTTTCCGATTTTTATTCTCCATGCTACGCATATTTCATCGCCCGAATCTCATTGATGTTTTCTTTCGATCTTCAGTAAAACCTTTTTAGTGCCATTAGCAAATTATTACAGTTGCTATACAGTCTTGTTCTGAGCGAATCGTTTTACTAGAGTTATTTGGTTTGATTTTAGCAAAGTTAATTAAATTAAATACCGTGGATTTCCAATTGTGGCAGGTGTTGATGGAGTTTAATTTAATGAGTTTGCCGTTAACCTGTTATTCTATCCAGTACTGATCACTGTTCTGTAGCTGAGGCATCAGTTAGTCGTGTAATGGAATAAACTTAACACAACCAGTTGGATTTAGACTATTCCTAAAGCAGTTTTGTGGTATAAATACGCAATTTTCATTTGAAACTATTTTGTTAGAAAAGGCTTTCCAAGGGGTTTACCTAATATTCACAAGCAAACTACACGCAAGACACTACCCCATCTGAACTGTTGGGAAGATAAACGTTTCTGCGTACAGTAAGAAATCAAATGTTAAAAGTGCCAAGAATTCAATTTGAGCTGTTTTGCTCCTGGCATAGCGACTGGGAAAGTAAACCAGAGCATAGAAAAATTATTTTTTGAGATTTAAAATATTCTATCGACATACCATGACCAGGGATTGAATATATATGTACCTGCCACGTTCAATTTGATGTACAAATTTGGTATTCTAAAGAGAATTTTGTCGATAATCTAACTCGTAAAGACGAGTCTCGCTTTAAAGCCTGAAAACAAGTCAAACACCGCAAATGAGCGCATTGAATCAAATATCACTTGGTAAATCCACAACT